TAACTTTCTCTGCTCTTGTTCGGCTGACATTGATTGCTGCCTTCTTGTTCCTCCTTTCTTCAATTTTTTCAAGAATACCAACAGACATCCAATCCTTGTGATAGTACTTCTTGTGCCCCACAACTTCGTGACACGTTGAAGTGATTGCCTCCTTGATCCCTTCCCAATTGTTCTTCAATGTTGCATCCTCTCCATTGAGTATATCGTGCAAGGCCTGAAACCTATTGGAGAGGACTATCTTGAATTCGTTGAGTTTTACAGTATTTCGAAGAAAGGCTGTATTAAACTTGTGTGATGTTGTCTGTCCCGTTGTCTAGTGTTTCTTGAGTTTCAGTTTCATTTTAGTGACCAGCAAGTGGTAATTTGGGGCTACATCAGCTCCTCTCTTGGTTCTCACATCCTCCATAGTCCTTCCGAACTTTTTATTGATACAGATATGGTCAATTTGGTTTTGAGTAGTGTGATCCGGTGAAATCCATGTGGCTTTGTGTATGCGTTTGTGCGGGAATATTGTGCCGCCGATGACCAGTTTGTTGAAGGCACATAGGTTTGCAAATCTCTCACCGTTTTCGTTCCTTTCTCCCAGTCCATGTCGTCCCATGATGTCTTCATATCCAGTGTTGTCCATTCCAACCTTGGCATTCAGGTCTCCATAGGAATCGTCAAATCCTTTGGTGAACATTTCTCGACGATTGACTGCAGCCTTTCGTAGAATTGATCTTTAACGTCGTCATTGTAGTCATTGGTAGGTGCGTAACATTGGATGACGTTCATTGTAATGTCCGCTTTCTTTGTTTTGAAGGATGCTTTAATGATCCTGGGTCCGTGAGATTCTCATCCTATCAGTGCCTTTTGTGCATGTTTGGACAGCATCAGTGCAACCGCTCGTGTATGTGAAGCATTTTCCTCTTCATGACCAGAGTATAACAGCAGTTCCCCTGAAGCTATTCTCAGTTGTCCTACCTGTGTCCAATGCGTTTCACTGATGCCGAGCACCTCGAGGTTGTATCTCTTCATTTCTGCCGCAACTTGAAATATTTTTCCAGTGTCCCACAGTGTTCCATGTACCTAAAAGAATGGTTGCTCTGGTTGTGAGAAGCTGCATCAGCTTCGTGACTTCCGAGAGAACTCGGCTTTCATCACGCGACGTCATAATTCTTCTTCCAACTCCCACGGTAGAGTTAAAATGGTTTGAATTATTTTTTCTGGTTAGTGTTTTTTTGGCAAGTTAGTTTTTAGTTGGATGGGGGCGCCAACCTATGTCCAATCCCTCCTCTTTTATCCGGGCTTGGGACCGGCAGTAGCCCCGAAAGGAATTACAGGCGGAGTTGTTCCAAAGAGTTGGTAGTGTCCAATGGTTGTTAGTCTAGCCATTCGACTGCACAAATTGTAGTCAGTTGGCATTTGTTCACTCCCGTCTCCTACACATAGCTGAAGCCATAGGAATTAGTACATTCAACCTCAGTTTATTTTTTCAGAAGAAATTCGTGACACCCCTATCTCTTCCGATGCCGGATATGATGTAAGTAACCATTTAAATTTTTTTGTTTAAAATTTTATTTTGTCATTAGTAGCATGATTTTCAAATACTGTATTTGTTGGTAGTTCTCTCACTCTTTCCGTTTATATTCTTCACTATTTAATTATGTACACTCTTATTACGTAATGGTTTCAATGCTTTGTAATGATTATTTCAAGTCTATTTATCCCCGTTTGACCTACTATGGATAAAACTTTTGTTATCGTATTTTGTATTTTTCTTACTACTATCAGTACACCTCTCTTCCTACTATCAATTTGTACCTTTTCCTATTAGGTGTAGTGATGTAATCGATTTCATTTTCCTGTGATTATTGACTCAAGTTGCTTTGATTGGTTAAACATTTTGGTATAAATATTCATGTAGATTAGAGTAAAGCCTGATGACGGTCTAATCGAAAACGATATTGTTCGCTTATATGTATTGTTCAAAATAAATTATTGTTGAGATTTGACAGATAATAAAGTAGCAGGCTCTCAGGTCTTCTGAAATTATCCAGGCTAATATTTAAGCAGAATCACCAGGTGCTGAAAAGATATATAAACAGGAAGGAGCTAGGTGCAGAACAGAAAATATTCTCGTCTAAAAACAATCCATGAATCCACAAGGAATATATGTTAGTTATTTAACCGTATGTATGTAATCATAAAATGTTTATTCTTACCAAGCTACTCGGATGCGCACTTCCAGTCTCTCGTGTTCATAACTGGAAACGATCAGATCTTCACTACATTGATAGACAATCAAAATAACCAATTAGACAACTACAATCATTTCAAAGTGGAACCACTGTGCAGTAGCTGTAGTTTTCTCAATCGCTTGTTCTTTTCCTGGTTGCTTCAAAGGCACCATACACAATTTCATTCACTGACAAACACAAGAATTGTGGAAAAGTCCCTGGATCCACGCAAAGTTGCCTGTTAGGATGGTCAAAGGTAAGGCTGAAATTTCAGGTTCCAATCCCGAGTGATTTATAGACACGCCACACAATGCCATTAACTGTACGGGGTAGTGCGAGAGTGAAAAAAGGGAAACGGTAACACCACAGTTCGAAAGACGTTACAAATCAGGGCCAGGAAGGCCAAACAAAGTTTACTTATTTTATTTACGGTTCTTGTGTCGGTGTGTAGCTTACCTGAAACAGTGAAATAAATACTCTGCAATGCTTGGAATGAGCAATACTCCGGCCAAACCATGCTGTCTTATCATGAGTCAGAATTTACCCAGGGGTAAACCCCCTCTATTGAGGGCAAATTTTTTGGACTCGGAACTGGTTGTTGAAGAAGTCCTCCAAACGTCTCAGAGACCTTCGGTCAGACAGTCCTCTCCGGTCCCAATCAGGAACGGCAAACCGTCGTCAGTACGAACACCCGCCATAATATCCACAAGCACTCGAGAAGAAAGCGGTATTAGGCTTCGTTGAGTGCCTGAGCTGGTGAGTGACAGCTTGGCTGAAGCTCACACACATGAAATGCAACAACGGTGGTGCCTTTCATGCAGCATAGGCTTACATATCACCATGGCAGTCTGCGTTTTTTTGGCTGCCTCCTCCGTTACCTCTCGCTACTGATAAGTCGTCGCTTCTGATGAGTGTGAGCTTCATAAAGGGAGAAAACATAGTAGAGACACTTTAGGCTTGATACAGCACGGAGCATGATCTCTCAAGTCAGTAGACTTGTTTACCCTACCCAAGAACATGTGAAATCATTAGCTGATGAATATCAACCAGACCACATCAATTCTTGTTATATGAAAACCTATCTCTACCATGAATCTTTTCTCAGTCCGAAAGATGATTGTCGTAACGTAACCTTCGTAACTTGCGCCAATTATTCGCATCGTACATTCCATCTTTAAGAATACAATGAATCTTGTGAAATGTTTCAGTAACTGTATACCGTTTTAAAAGAAATATGTTACTGATGTTAACATTTTGATCTTGCCTGTAAATTGGCACGTCTCTTGTAACATGCTTGTTATTTGAGAATAGCGTTATGAGAGACGACCTAGATCAGGGAGACAACAGTAGATAAGCCAACTAAAGCACATACTAATATCGGTTAACCTCAACCAAAAGACGCGAAGATCATGGTCTTCTTAACTGAATACGTTATGCGGCGGCCAGTTCCTACAGAACTAGCCAACTCGGTTTTATCAATTTGTTGTAAAATCCGTGAGCAGATGTTGCTGTGGAAGGAGGATTGAAGATTACGCTGGAAGAAATCGGGAATATGTGCTCTCAGATGGCACTTAGGATCATAACCCCAACTGAAGCATGGCCATCTCCCGACAATGAAGATGGCTAAGTAAGCTACAGAGTGTGACATTCTTCCGATGAGATACAGTACAGAAAACAAGAAGTGGAGTGACGATAAATATTAACAGAAATTCCAAAGCGGTAACACCGCACAGTACCAACTAACCGACGTGACAGAGTCATGCTGGTGTTACTTCAATAGAAATGGCACAAAATACTTGACTAAAGGGATTTACGCACAACCAGGTATTTTAGCCTACAAAGATAGATTGATTGAGCCCATAATGCAACTAGCAGACCAAAGGTTTGAACAAACACTCTTATCTGGAGGTCTCGACACTTCGTCCATGAATCTCAGCAAACAAAGTAAAACTCCTTGAAGTTGGTTTTACAGGCAACGTGGCAAAGCCATTATAAGTTCCAGACTGACTGAACATTTATGAGGCGTCCTAAGGTTGACTAAGGATGGAAAAACCCCAAACTTGGACTATTTGTTAACGAATGGTCAGTTCCTCGTCGAGGATACCAATGTCCACACTCTAATAGAAAACGGCGACCATGATGCAGTTACATTTTCTATAGTCATAATCGAAATACTCGTCACCCTCTTTGACCAGCTGTTTCTGATGCATCTCTTGAAACTTGCTATTTCTGTCATTTCCCCAGATCACTAACTTATTCTATCTTGACAGTCATCTATGATTCTTCTTCCTTCCTTCCACTTCGTTCACCTAACACGATCTTTACTACCACTTAATTAAATTAATAATTCGTTTGTGTACTTAGTTCTGAAATTTTCCTCCTCAAAGTACAAGGATGGAGCACAAAGAAATCAGTGGGTTAATGCTAGCGTGTGACACAGATATTGGATCTTGTTCGATAGTATTAGAGTTTTCTCATCATTATTCTACACACTGCAACTAACTGATCTCCTACCTGGTAACATGGTGGCTGCTGATATCCAGGAATCCTACTACTCTGAGACAATCGCACACGTTGAAATCACGAAACATACAAACTCACAAGCAACTACCAACTGACTTAAACTAGGCAGTCGAGTGGCTCGACTGCCACCCATTGAACACTAACAAATACCTAGAACCGTACCAAAAGAAAAAGAATCGAGCACAAAGAGATCAATCGGTTTATATTAACTAGTGAAAAGATATTGGATATTGAAACTCTTGTTATAGTGGTGTACTGCTTGTTTTCAGCTTTTTGTATGGCAACGTGCAGGGTTTGAAACTATCACATTTTTCGAGGCACCTGCGTTTTGTGGATTTTGGCTTATTAATTGAAAATACTCATGTCTTTACGTATAGAATAACTCCATTTTCTTTCAGTGGAACTCGATACGATAAGTAGGTTCTATTGCTTCACTGTGCCATTTTGTATTTCAACATGACTTTTTTCTACATACTCAACTGTTTTCTACTAATCCTACGAAACGACATGTGACTTTTTTATAATATCTATTTATTAGCAGGCGAAATTGATTTTATCATTATGTTTTTGCAAAATGATTTATGAGTTAATAGGGAACTATCAAAGATAGTCGAATCTAAAATAGAAAAGTAATTAAGGGAACTAAGTTATATTTACTCTTATTGTTAGGGCTAATCTCAGGACTTATGGACTATGGATAATCCAGGAGCTTCATATTATTTCTTGCAACAATGGTTATTTGGAGATTGATTCCTCATTTGGAGGTATCAATATGTTCTGGTAGTACAAGATTTTTCCGTTAATTCACCCAACTTTATTTTTCTATTAGACGCTTAAATAATAAGGTCTAAAAATTAGCAAAAGGAGGTGTATATCTCTTGCCTTACAAATTCGTCGTTACAAACAGTTCGATTTATATGGAATGGTTTTATTTTCCTGTTTTGTATTGTACTGTACTAACATTAAGCGCACTTTTTTGTAACTTTCAGATAAATTAACATATAAAAGTCTTCCTGTCGTTTGGTATCCAGTTCGTCATGAAACCATTGACTTTTGGTATAATTAGAGTAGGATCAGATTTGGGTTTTATTGCCGCATGTAATTCCTATTTGCTCACATTCAAACTTCTGAATTTGTAGTAATAATTGCCAATACTGTTTTGCAGAATATCGATCCATACAAAAGAGGATATTTTACTCAAGACGAATCAATCAAAAAGCCATTCAAACCAAATACCGTCTCACCTATTGTTCTCTATGTGGTATCCTCACTATTAATATTGTTTACGGTATTTTTGTCCTACGCTCAAAATTTTATACTACTTTGATTTCAGATAGTTGTAGGTGAAATAATTGTCGGTGCAAAATCTTTAAAAAAAACTCATCATTATATACCCTTGGTTTGTTCGTCGAATTACAAATGAGATTTTTAATTTTGTAGGTTTTGTATCCGATTTATGATTCTCTAATTGTTGCGGCCTTTGGTTATTTTGCCACTATCGGTCTTACAGATGTAGGCAAAGTTTCATTTGGTCGTCTTCGTCCTAATTTCCTTGATGCATGCAAACCTACTAATCTTCAAACTACAGCCTTGGGTTTTGTTGATAAATTTACTTGCTCATCAGACACATCGAATGGCTTGAGGTAATTAGTTTTTATTGATACACTGGCTATGACTTTTGACTTCACGATTGTTTTTGGAGTGGATTTAAAACTATTACATCATAAGTCAACGGGTTACGTGGTAGAAGCATTTTTTGCAAATACAGAGTACTGTCTTACTAACTAATTCAACTTCCACTTGGTAAGGTTTCTGTTCTTCGATTAGGAAATCGGTTTCAATGTTTTGCTTCATTTAATTTACTGTTCAGGCGTTATGTTTTAGCTGTCAAAATAAATGTGATTCAGGGTTTGATAAAGAGATGTGTTTGGCCATCAAGTTACACAAAAGTTGCAATTATGCAACCAGGTTTTTACGGACGAATATATGCTATTATATAATACTTTATATTATGAGACCATTTGTATCCCTCTTTTCATTTTAAATTTATTCTGGTGGGATCACTTCAGCTTATCTAACACTGGTATTTTTTTCGGAGAGGTTTTAAGTAATCTTTTAGGGTGCGGATCAAGGTATATAAGATCATTAAAAAATATTCGGCAATATTTGTGGCAGTGTGCAAGCCAAAGATTTCCATAATAATTCGGTCATCAGCTACATTCACAAGCAGTTCCTGCCAGTACTGAAGTAGGTTGGAAGAAAGCTGAAGGTGACCAGATCAAAAGGTCATATTTCGGTGCATAGAGTCATTCACTATTGGTAGATTCAGACTAACTGGTTAAAATCTTCGTGACGTCGTAGCTCTCTTTGGTGGAGAAGCTGAAAAGATGAAGTCTTTCAAACCTATGGAGTGAATGGGCCTCACGATCCTAATTGTTAGTCACTGGCTACCATGGGACTTTATTTCAATACGTTACTTCACTGTCATTTGGATCAAACCTGTAAGTGGCAGGCTCGACGGTTGGTCCCCCAAGAAAATTACTTTCTCTGGTTCGGCCACCCAGGTAGTATCCTACTCCACTCAAAAATTTAATAATTTGTGTGGTACGTAAATATTTAAGTACTTCTTTGTATTAGTAATAGTAAAAATTCAAGTGGTTTGTATAGTGTTGTCGTTTGATTATATGCACGCGTTTATGTTGGTGCAACCTTTTGATTCTAATAACGACTTTTTATTGCCATCGTCATCACTTTACATCCTTTTTCATTGATTTCCCTTTAATTTTATGTTTGTAGAAAATCTTTCCCATCTGGACATACTTCAATTTCAATATATACTGCTATGTTTCTATGCGTAAGTCTTCCAGTCCTCTTTTCAAAAACATTTTTAGAATATTTCGAAAAGCTTAGGTTGTTATATATATATATATATATATATATATATTTTAAATTCTGTTTCAATGGAATGATTTTTCTATTCAATAACCGAGTAACAGGTTCATATACTCGGCTTTTAGTTTGAAGTTATTTTTGTGAGGGTTAGTGATACTACCCCGAATATTAAAATCGAAGCGGCGAGTTCGAATCAGTGTTTCAAAAGAGTTTATACCATAGTTTATTGGTTAAACAAACTAGGCCTGTTACTCTTTTTATCTTCTAATTTAGGTCAGGCTTTCCATTTAACTTGAAGCACTAATTTTAAAAAATGTATTGACAGTTTTATTGACCTTCACCAAAGTATGGTAGCTTAATTGATATCTAATTGCAAGATTTGAATGGGCCTCTGATTTTATTATTTGAATCGGTTGCTATGACTGGACATGGTTATCATCTACTGTTTTTTGCTTATCCTTAATTTTCTTTCAGTTATCATTGCATGATTAAAATAACTGCTGAATTTCATAATGATTAAATATCCATAAGTCACGTTGTCAAACAGTGTTAGCACTTAAATTCCTTAGTAATACAATTCGGATACGACATTAAGGAAGAAATTGATTATAGGATTCACATATCAACTTAAAATGAACTTTCAGTGCATTTTCACTTGTATCAATCTATTCCTTATGGAATTAGTTTATTTTATTTGCAACCCTATATGATTTAGTTTTTGAGTAGTGGTTAACTACTAAGTTAGTAGATCCTGTAAATAATAATCATTGAGTTTTTACTTACTTACGCCTGCTACCCCTCGCGGAGCATAAGCCACCCACTAACATTCTTCAGCCAACTCTCTCCTAGGCTCTCCCTTCTTTTTGTTACCAAACACAATTCGCTCTTTTCATGTCAATCTGTGATTCCCAACACATTGTGTTGTTTGGTTTGTTTCCTTTTCTTCTTTTTTGAGGATTCCGAGTTAAGATCTGTCTTATCATACATTTTGGGGATTTCTGTCAGGTGTGTCTGACTCACTTCCACCGTCTTTTCCTAATTCCTTCATCAACTGGAATCTGGTTGTTCTATGTCAATCAATCAATAACAATGTAGAACTTCGTATGTACGTACAGCAGTTCGTGTTGCCATACCACATTAACTCAGAGGTGTAATTGTCAATTCAAATCCAATAGTAGTACAGGTAGTTAAGGTATTAGCAGTAGTCGGAGAGGTTAGGAATCTAGTGAAATAGACTTAAAAGGGTAAAGACAAAGTGATGAGGAATTGAAAAATTCAGGATTTGAGAGGACACAAATAATGAATGCACCTGCGCCATTGCAAACGGTTTTGAGCCATGTCATTCAGTGTCTCTAACCATCGATTATTATCTTCTCGCCGACCCCAACCAGGTAGTCGACATCTACCAACATGACTCAGTTCACTTGTCAGTGACTTCATGAATTTGTGCCATGTTTTGGTTTGGTTGCCCCTAGATTTCGTCCAACCTATTCTTACACCGCAAAATATAGCTCGACGAGGCAGTCGGTGGTTAGGCATACGCAACAGGATGACTGGAGATCGTGGGTAACCGAAGTGTGGCTGTAGGCCAGTTGAACTGACCCCTAAAGTGTTCCGCCGATCGGTCCAGTCTCCTGGATTGAGAATGGCTAATAAGACCATCCTTTTCCGAGATAGTCTCACTCACATTTGGGTTCCTAATAACAGTTTCCTTGATGAGTTTGAATAGTTGCCTTCTGTTGCCTATCGCCGCTGACTTTTCCATCTCTTTCTATTTCACAGTAAGTTATTGCTCCTGGTGTCTGGCCGACGGATCTTCAGTATCTTGCGTATATAACTGTTTATAAATACCGGTATCTTTTGGATGATGGCTTTCGTACTTCTCCAAGTTTTAGCTCCATACAATAGGACTGTTTCAATGTTCCTGGTGAAAATTTCGACTTTATTGTCTATCAGCAGCTGTTTTGATGTCGCAGTGTTCTTCATTTGTAGAAATGCTATCTTCACCTTATCAATCCGTGCCAATCCGTATAATAGCCTCACGAGAACCAATAATATTTTTAATTATAGCTCATGAGCATTTGAGATGCTGTTATCATAATAACTGCAAACATGCGACAAGTACTAAGTTTAAAGATTTTGATTTCAAGGAGACGATTATAGGCGGTAAAGTGAAAAGCAACATAATATCCAAGATAATTGAAAAATGTATAAAATAGGTTGAAACTATCATCTTTTCACCAATTTTACTACAGAAGGATCCCTTATAATTTTGTATGAGAGGAAATAACAGACAAAAATCAAAATCTGACAGTTAGATTTTGATTTATTGCAGAGTGAACGGCCTACAATTACCTATGACATCTTATCATGTCATTTTTCCCATTACTATATTCTATATCAAAGCAGACCATTTTATTGAATGCAAAGTCTATTCATCTGGCTAGTGCTCTTGTTTTTTTTGATTTCAAATCATTCTGGGGTTCGACTATATCTTTTATCATTGTATATCATATGTCAGTCTGTATTTTCTTTCATTCAGACGATCGATTATTCGTTTCTCAATCCAATCAAAAACCTCTACAACATTATTATTATTATTATTAATGATTAAGTCAGTCCAGTAAGAAATCACTATTTCTAATGCTTTCTGTGCTTAGATGTTTGGTGATTGAAGTTAGTTATCACGACGTACCTATCATCTCATGGGGATTATAATGCAACTAGTGTAATTACTATGTCCCTGAATCGCTCAATCCCACTGTTTGAAATGATGTTACCATTTTCTATACTTGAACTGTAATTGACATGCCAAACTGGAGTATTTACATGAACTAATCACAGACTAGTTATCATTCGTATGTTTTTTTTAGTCCTTAGTACTATTGTATTGATTCTGTAGTTCAGCAGGAACTATGTATATTCATCTTGCAGGATTTTAAAAAAAAATGTTCATCCATACATAATACATTGTTAAATAAAAGAATGTCCTTCACGTCTTTTATATTTTTTATGCCTTCTTTTTTTCTTTCAGCTCTATATTCAACTACGATTTTCACGTTCTCGTGTATATCCAGGTGTAAGAATATGTTTCCAAATGATTTATATTGCTCTGGGATTAGTTGTTAGTTATTCACGTATTCTTGATCATAAACATCATTGGTCTGATGTACTTGGTGGTGGATTATTAGGATTTTTTGTGGCATTAAGTACTGTAAGTGAATAATTGTTATCAGTTATTGTTTTTCTTGTTTGTTTGAAGTTTTTAAAATGTAATTCCTGTTAATTCAAATGCACTGGGTTTACACATTTTATTAATTAGGCATAGAGTTCTTTTAATTTTTGTCTTGTGGTATTACCTTTTTGTTAGGTAAATGAATAAAAATGAAAGGTAAAAAAATGGAACTTAACGATCTCTGCAATCCTCATGATGATAATTATCATGTGCTAACAACGAAATTCTCGGAGTTCTATTGAGAAGCCGTGACCAATGGAGTTCAGCCGGGCTGTGTGGGTCAGTTATTTGACCGAAGACAATGGGTGACGGTCATGCAATATTGTTACTTGATTGAAGTTAGACGTAAATACTGTTAGATGCTGGCTTAGTGGTCTGGAGGTCAAGTGTTCTCACGCGAGACCAGAGGACCTGGATTCGACCCCCGCTTGAGGAGTTGTGCATGCGTCAGTCATCTGCGACTTAGGATTTCGTACGTACGCACATCAATGGAATTCGCCATACCACATAAGCAAACAGAGGTTTAATTGTCAATTCAAATCCCATAGTAGAGGTACTAGAAGTATTAGCCATAATCAAAGAGATTAGTGGTCGAAGCTATCCTTCGAGAAGCATATCTTCTAACCTAACTCCTACACCGCCAAACATAGCTTGAAGAGGCAGTCGGTGGTTGGGCACACGTAACATATGTCCTAACCACTTCAACGGATGAAGTTTCAACACTCCATACATTGATATGCCATCCTTACCTAGTGTCCGTTTCCTAACAACTGCCTTGTTTGCTCGATAGTCTCAAGATAAACCAGCAATGCTTTGGAGATACCGATGATCGTAAACTAGTAACCTACGAATATCTTCCACTCTGACTGGGCATGTTTCACAGCCATAAAGTAGGACGGGGTGAACTGACCCGCAGTAGATATGCTCTTTGGCTAGCAGATGCACATCTCGCCTGCGCCATGAGTGACGCAGGTTGTCAAAATCCAGTCGAGCCTTCGATTTTCGTCCTGAGATTTCGTCACACACCAAGCCACCAGCACTAGTGAGAAACCAAGACAGGTGAAGCTCTCAACACGCTCAGCTGCTTCACTCCCTATCACTACTTCAGGTGCCGATACAACCAATCGCAAAGTAACATTTTGTATTTCGGTGTCGAACGCGCTTGCATTGTTGCGTAGCTTGGTCAGTAACCTGCATTCTGTCAGTGTCTTCACCAAGTAAAACTATATCATCGGTATACCCTTATTCAACAAGCTGATGAATCCGATACTAGAACGAAACGGCCATCAAATGATTCCAATTTTCTAACAGTAGTCTAACATTATTCGATTTATGGTTTTAATATGAATAAACCGAAATCAATGGCCTGAAATTAGCACACTACTAACTAATTTCATGAAGCCAATTTTTTTTTACTGTAATTAAGAATCTATATGTCAAAGTTCAATATATTATCATAAATCTAGGTGCTACATGATTACCATATGCCTGACAGTTTCATAAAAAGTCACCACTTGCGTCTAGTGCTCAAAACAAATCACCGCATCTATGTTATTAAATATAAGGATCTATTTCCTCTGGATTATATGCCTGGTTATTGAGAAGAAAATATATCTTTTCAACTGTTGCCAAATATCCAATGTAAAAAGTCAATGATGTGAAAAATCCATGTCACTAGAATTAATCAATGTAGCTTGTTGACTGACTAACGTATCGATTCGTGTGGTCAGATTTCTGTTACAGTTTATGTACATGGACGGTTGTATGAATGAGCTGTGGTGCTAAGATTAAGTACAGGAAGAAGCATGCACTATGCATATCTAACTAATTTAAATTGGGATGCTGGTTGATATGGAAGGTAGGTTGGAAAAATCCAAGATGTGACAACATGGATTGATGCATATTTATCCCAGGTTCAACACAAATCATGTTTCCCTTAATAAAGTTATGGAGATTGTTGAGTATCATTGAAATTATAAACCGATCAATGTTTGACGACCATTATAAATATGGAAGCATTAAACTTCCATTTCGTCCTAGTATGGGACTCTGTTTATTGCCTCGTGGATACATACTTCTAATGAGTCCTATACTAAGTCGAAACAGTCACTCAGCGCCTCTAATGATGGTCCAACACTGATCGGTTCATGATTTCAGTGAAATTGATCATGTTTTCCACGACTGTAGCTGCTACCTTGACGTAGTGGTCGGGCTTGCCTATCTAGATGACTCAATGGAGCTGTGTTGGCTGGAACACATGATTCTTTAGGTCCTAGCGTGCTAGGCAGGTCGACTGGAGGACATTAAGGCTAGATACAGCAGCTGAAGGTCTGAGGGCAAAGTCGTACTTCTGACTGTAGAGAGGTGTGACAGTAGCAAGGTGTTTCCCTCCGAGAGCCAGTGCCTGCAGCGATGCTGCCTTCTCACAACGGAAGGAAAGGGTTAGAAAATGTGAACCCTAAAGATGTTGCACCTCACCCTACCTGACTGTTTCTGTCTCCGGCTGTAAGGCCTATAAAAAGGCCGTGTGTGACCGGCCTCCAGTAGCTGTCCCTTGAGCTCTGCGGCCACGCTCCGAGGTCGCTAAGAACAGCGCTAATTCGAGTACAGGAAACATTATTCCTGGTCTCCTGAAGCCCCGTTCTAAACTACATGTTCTAGCTTTTGACGTTCGAACCTTGTGCCAAATCGGACAACAGGCTTCCTTAGAAAGGACTTCAGTATCTACGACTGAAATCATTTATTTGACCTGATCATGTTTTCCTGGCTTCTATGTGATCACTGAAACGCAGGTAAATAATAACTTGTTAAAAATGTGTACTATAGAAGAAAGGTGTGACAGCAGCAAGGTATATCCCACGGGGATATCTAGAATATGCTGTTACCTACTGACCATAGGAATAAAGGGGTTAGAAAAGGTCGACCTAAAAATGTCACAACCCACCCACCTTATCCCACGGATCGTGATTATTAATTAATCAAAGAACAGTTAGCTTGAACGTTGTTAACTGAAATCTTGCAAACATTCTATCAGTTATGATTTTTACTCATTTATTCATTTACAAAGTGAAATTATCTGTATTTATCTGGTTACATATTACTGTACAACTAAAAAGTGTACTTCATGCCATTTTAGTGGTTCTATTTGTTAAGTACTTTCACATTATAGAGTAGAATTTTTTTCATTTTTTTAAAAAAAAATTAAATAAGCTATATGCTTTAAGTATGCTAATTATAATTTAGTGGTTTTAAACTCGGATAATCTTTTTTGTTTTATGAATGGGAATTTTAAAATGTAGTAGAGTGATATTATGATCGATCATATTTTCAAGGGTATGGACCGATTAAAGAGGCTTGATTATTTCAGATAATAGCTAGCCATAAGGTTTAATGAGAAAATTATCGGTCAAATTTATTTAACTGGGAGTGGAAAGGCAGGTCCAGGACAGAGTAGGTTAAAGGATGTTGGTCGGCGGTTTCTACTCCATTAGAGGTAACAGGCTTGTCGTCATCAGCTTAAGCTGACATAAGTATGTGGTGTTATCTCAAGTTGTTTTACTAAATCAACTTAATGTAGTCGAGTGAACATAACGAGGAAGTAATGAAGGAGTCAAAATAGTTGTTATAGTTAATGGTAGTGAGACTAAACATTAAGAATATAATTTGATAATATGGGGTGAATAAGTTAACTGTGGAAGAATTTCGTAAATCAAGATGTAGATGAAAATATATGGTGAATATAAGTCTACACAACTGACACCTAATCACTAATCAAGAGCATCCCAACCGCTTAGTCTAAGCCTGACAATATGGGTCAGTTAATGATCTCATGAACTGATGTCACATTTCGGTTTGTCAGACTCGCCTCAAACTACTCCCACACCATATGACATTTCATGTAAAGATAGGTGCTGGTTGGGCTATGTAATGAATACATGTCCCAATCACCTGAGTATGTGAAAATTCACAACTTCATCAACTGATTTGGTTATCTTTACCTGGTATCTTACGTTTAATTTTAATACTAATTGTCAAAATGTTTCAAAGATTTTAATGGAAGCCAGAATTTTATACCTTCTGTAGTAAGGTGATAGCAATAATATAGAACAGTTAGTGCTCTTACATGGCCACGTATATATGTACACGTATATATAAACATAAGAACATTAGTACAAAAGGAAGAAGAGAGTCTATTAACAAAATACGCATGTCTAATCTTCAAACTTCCGTTCGCAAGAGAAGCAGATTATTGACTGTCTTCGTACACAAACTCTCTGTTCTTCAAAACGCTTTGATCCCGTCATGCATTCCAATCTGACACTCTCCTTTACGGTAGTAATATCTGGTGGACACCGCTGCATACTGCTTAGAACCCACATTGCAAGTAGCATCCACAACACTAATACATGTCTAAGTTTTTCATTGGCTTACTTTAATATATTTTATGATTTTTTATTTTACAGTTATACTATTTACCGTATGTTTGCGATACTGGAGCTTCTCTGCCTACTATCAGAGATGATCAAGTAATGTGAGTTCGCTTTGCTTTTTTTCGTTAAAATATTTTGTTTCGTCAATTCTCTTCGTATATTTTATTCCATCTCAGATACAGCGTGCTGTCAGAAATGCTTTGATTTTATCGTTCAATTGAATTACGTCAGTGGTGATTGATTTTTGTATCGATAAAATCTTGACATTGATGATATGTCTTGTCCCTCCACCAAACTCCGACTGGAGCCGCTCTGGGGCTTCTACTGGTCCCGAGCCCGGATAAAGCAGGAGGGTCGGGTATGGGGTCAGCGACCCCATCTCGTTGAAAAGTAACTTGTTAAAAAACTAGCAAACAATTTAAACTAATCAAACTCTGCCCTGAGATTTAGTAGGTCTTCATTTTGGAGAGTTCTGACGTCTCATAATGAAAGCCGAGTTCCTTTAGAAGTAACGAGGCCGATACCCTTTCTGACAACCAGAGCAAGCATTAATTTAGGCATACGCTTCATTTACTGAATGTGATTATAAATTCATCGAAATGTTTAACTCATCGTTTGAAACCGAAGATACCCCTGATGTGCTTCAAAATGTTTTCAATATTCATCTGTTGATTTACATTGTATCAAAAATGATCGTCTTTATTGCAATTATACTGTTAAATTCAGACTACATTAGATTAGTGAAAACTTAGTCATTCATTATTCAACGTTTTTTCTAGTTAGTCAGTCTAGCTACAACGTAAAACTAGATATGTACGTACATCAGTTTAAGTTTCCTAACCACATTAACAGAGAGAGAGATGGAATTATTCATTCAAATACCATAGTAGTAGAGTTAGTAAAAGTATTGACGGTAATTGAAAAGATGACGGACCGAAGATATGATTCAAGAAGTTGAATGCAGTGAAATAAATTTATAAAGAAAAAAAAACGGTCATGAGGAATTCAGAAGATTAGAATTTGAGAGAAGAAAAAAGAATGAACCCACCTGTACCATTGCAAGAGATTTTGAGCCTGGGCATTCAAAGGCTCTAATCGCCTACTACAGTTGTCTCGCGGACCCCAACCAGCTGGTCTACACCTAACATGGCTCAGTCCAGTTACCAGTGACTGCATGCATTTGTGTGTCACGTCTCAGTTTGTACGCACCTGACTTTACTTCCAACCTACCCTCGTCAAGGTAGTCGGTGGTTATGGTTACGTAACACATCCCAACCACCTCAAATGACGGAGATCTACTAGTTCATCAGTTGATTTTTCACCTTTACCTTGTACCAGTTTACCAACCGCAGCATTGCTTACTCGATGATCCCAGGGTATTAGGAAGTGTAGCTACTAAGTGTTACTGATATATCTTCAAGGTCAAAGAAGTTATCGACTTGAACAATACTTTTAAATGACCTCTTTTGTAATGATTTACAAAGACATGAATCAATACAATGTTCATCAGATATTGGGATATGAGTCATACACTCCTAATGTTTTAAGGCTGATGATACTATCCAGCTGCTCAATCCCAACTAGATGGAGTGGAGTTCTCAAGCCTAGCACTTGGAAGAATACATTCTTCACTTCTGTGGAACTCTTTAATTTTATATCATGTCTTTTTGTTCCGTTCATTTGTGTTCACTTTTTTTTTTAAAAAATTTTTTTCTAAAAACCTTGTACTTTTAAATTTTATTGTTATTCTCTTCTCCATAATGACAGATAAACTGATGGGCGAATAATGAAATAATTCCAGCGATCGTATACTTTTAAAACAATCGTGATCACACTAAAATTATACTAACTTTATTATTGATTTAGAATTGTTCAGACAAAATGTTAACATGTAATCTAAGTTTATTTTTAAAACGATTTTGATGCATCTATAGTGGTAAATAAATCCTCAAAAAAGGTAGTTATGTAAGAAGTATTTAAAATTGATACTGACTTCATTGGTTTTAAAGGACACACAAAGCTGGAGGCACCACCTGGTCACGCTACCGTACCGGATCACGGTAGGGTGCTCCATGCAACGCGCATCTCCTTGCATAAACTAACACAACTGGTCGACTCACTCTTCGACATTCACACTATTATTCAGATCTACCTTCGATCTTGGCTTTGGGTTTCTTCCATCTGAAATATGTTACGGGCAAAAGCGTTATCCAACTCTGCATATCCTTGACACCGTTGCACATCAAAAGCCAATCTAATTGTAACTGAATAATGAATACTAGACGGAAGTTATCTGATCACTGAATTCATTAATCAATTAATCGATAATAGTAAAAAGTTAATTTTTTCAAGAGGAAAATTGTAAATTACACTAAAAATATAATTTTGAATTCTTTTTTAAGTATTTTAGAACACAAAAGTCTTTATTCAACTCAAATGGAGATATTTAAATATCTTTTTTGAATTCTTTTTTAAGTATTTTAGAACACAAAAGTCTTTATTCAACTCAAATGGAGATATTTAAATATCTTTTTTAAATTCACATAGATTAAAGATTCAACAGTTCTGATGACCGACAGTAGATAGAAGTAAAAACCGAAAACCTGTTTTATCTTATCTGGTACTCATCAGATAGATATGGCTATAATATTTGATTGTTAGATTCCACACTATGACTTAAACGCAATACGTTTTGATTCAAAAGTTTAATGCCTTATACACAAATGTATCGAAGGAGAACACAGGTGAGGGCAATAGAATTGTATTTAACGCAAATTACAGAGTTACTCAGTAAAATAGGAAAACCATATTGTAAACGGTTAATTTACAAATCTTCAATCCATCATCAATCCATTGTCTGACATTTCACTCTTCATGCGTTTCATACAAATTCCATTATGTTCCCGCTCTTCCTTTCTTGATCTTCCCCCATCTTCTGCTGCCATACATGACGTTGACACTCACGTCATATACTACTTATAAGTAGCGCGCACCACACACACCTAGTTATTGAATTCACATAGTCACTGGCTTGTATAACAAGAGCGACATTGCAATTTATTTGTAAGAGTTTGAACCTCTCCATTGTTGATATCTCAACGGTTAGAAATTTTCCTACCAGTTTTCATTAATGATAATGCATTCTCTAAACTAATCAATTTCTATAATGTTTAAATGACTATCTGAATCGATGTGAATTTACAGACGATCAAGTACTCTATAGTTATGTTACTAATTCGAAGAAACAGTAACTCTATCAACTTTTATAATGTAATAAGAAATTAAGTTTTTTAACACTGAAACCGGTAACTTATTAGCTAGAGAATTCACTAAACGAAAAATACATTTCCATGCTCATTTAGAAAATATGTAAATATGTTTTGGTAGATACTACTCACAACGAAGTTTCTAAGTAGTATGCAGTAGGGTGTCACCCGGAAGTTACCACTAGAGAGAAGAAATTCAGATACGAATGTATGGCACGATCAAAGTGTTTTTTTTTCAAAAAGACTAGAAAATGTATAGTTAAAGACTGTCAATAATCTGCTTATTTTACAAATAGAAGTCTGAAGAATAGGTGCACATATTTTGTTAGCAAACTGTATCCTCTTTAAATATATTTCTAACCTCCAGACCATTGAGCAGCTTAATTTCGTATATTGATTGAATTTAGACATCAACACTGTTGGATACTGGCCAATGTGATGTTATCGCGAGTTGTCATAAAAAGAAGTATAACTTAAGACCAAGTTCACAAGTTTGTCAACTAATTTAATCTAAATTTAGGGTTTGAATGTTAGTATTTAAGCAATAAAAACTTATAACTTGACATGACAGATCTAAATATTCAAACCAACAAGGCAGAAACAAAAATCCTAACACTCCTTATACAGTTAGTTGTATAAAGTATTCAGTTCGAATATAGATAAAATTTGTGAAATAATCACATTGTAAATAATTTTTAATACTGTAGAAGAGTTAAGCTAGTACTACTGTACATAAATTCATCTCATATTGCTGAGATCTGATTTTTCTTTCATATTGTAACAAAATAGACATTAACATGGTAATAAACCTATCAAACCATCGTAATAAAAATGTTTTATTGATGAATGTTTCTATATTGATTATCAGTTATGATTGGAATATCGTCTTACTCAGTCTATCTTTAGTGAACAGTTGGCCTGAGCTTCCTCATCTATCGAACGACCTTGACCTTGTCAAAATACAATGGAACAATATTATTTCAAGTGAACCAAAGAACAATGCGGGAGATGAGTCACAGCAAAACATTTAAATAAAATGACGTATTGTATTAGACCAATTATTTAATTAAGTCAACAAACAAGCCTTACATTCTTCAGACTTTAGTTGATTGAAGCATTCAAGGTTAAACAAAAATAAGGTTATTAGTATAAATAAACAAACTTTGCCTATCGCTTTCTCCCAATAAATTATACATACAATTATACCAAAACATTTGAAATATTTCGAAATATGCTAAAATCAATTTGTTCTAAACAATCTTTCCAGTGAAATCAGTAAAAAAAATCCATTTTTTGAAGAATAAAATCAATCAACAAAGTGCTTTGTCAGAATACACATAAATTATTGGACATCCGGAAATTGGACAAATCAATAAATGATCTGCAGTAAATTTTAAATAAGGGTGCAGCTTTCTTTATTTTGGTTAACATATCATATGTTCCTATTGTAGTAGTACACATGATTACTTTAGAATAACGATCTTTCAAAGTTCATTTTCATTGTTATTGTTATTCGCTTCATCAACTGACTGATAACTCTGTTCGTTAGTCCAGTGGACTAAAGATAATCATCATAGGTTGGTCTTAAGGTTTAAAGTCTTTTAATATCCAAAATGTGCATACAAACATAATGATAGGTCAGCTTCACAGATATATATATGTATGAGAAAGAATTTGAATAGTGAACATGAATTAATGTGGAAAATTATATTTTTATATGTCTCAGAGACTGAAGTTTAAGTAGGTCTAACGTTTGACCTGAAAAAATGACCCATGATTTTTCAAGGAGATGTGTTCTAACATAAAAATAATTGAATATTGATTTATGGTTCATTGATA